CGCCCACAGTCCCCCGGACTCGAAATTTTTTTCCTGGAAGCATACTTGGCAAGCCGGTGGCCAGCGGTTATGGCTATGTTTGCCTTCTGCTACGTCTTTGCGTCAGGGTGAGGCAGCCAAATTTGGAGGGTAGTTGGGCCTTCTGTGCCGCTGAGCGCTAGTGATACATCTGCCCACGGAGCCCAAGACGATAAGATCAAGGAAAATCATATGTTTCGCATCATGTGAAGAACACGGGGACGTCCATGGGTAAATTCATGATTCGTTACTGCAAGACTTTGATCTCGAAATTTTAAGCCTGCGGCCTTATCCTACAGCTCACGCGCCCATGCATAGGTGTTGGCATCCTATTGTTTTCGTGTGAAGGTCTGGGCCCAGCATGCCAGGCGATCATGGTGTCATGTGGGAACATGTTCAAAACATGTTTTGGTGCTGGTTTATGGAGGTTGTGCAAACGGATCCGGACATCCAGTAGAACTTGATGCGCTATGCCTCGCGGTTTCGTCCAGCAAGCCACCTTCAACATGCGCAATGACATTGATCATGTGGGGTGCAAATAAATAATAATAGATGCTGTACATGTTGCATGCCTGAATTCAACATGCTTTCTCCGGTCAATGTGCCGTTCAGTTTGGGCACGCCGCCAGCTCAATCAAAAGCTGGCCATACCTGCAGCGCGGCTGGAGCAAGGAAAGTGGCGACATCTTCAATTTGTGGAATACTGGTCTGGTCGAATCGCGTCTGTTGTACGCTGAAGCGGCAAGAGTCTGGACGGCATTGTTCCCACAAATGCAGTGAAAGAAACGCTTGGGTTGCCCCTTTAGTGGAAGCTACAGGTGCGCCTGGGGAAGGAAACGTTGCATTGGGAGCCATTCAGCATACAGAGCATGGGGCTTCACGGTTGCATGGGCAAGTGTACGATGAAGACATCAAGAGCTGGAGGCCCGTTTTGTTGGAACGTGTAGGCGCAAGTGACAGCTGGCGTGATCAGGAATTGACAATAGAGTTGCCGCTCAGCAAGGTGACCGAACACCTGAACCAAGCAGACCTCCAGAAAACATTGCCCAGTTGGCCAACATCACTGCGCAAGCGTTTGGAAGCGTGGCCTGTCAAAGGTCCAGGTACGTTGATTTTTGATCCTCATTTCTTTGCGCAGCGTTCGGCAGCCCTGGCTCTCTTGGAAGCGGGTCCCGTGCTCTTTCCCGGAGCTGCAAGTGCCATGGGCTTGCCGTCTACGAGAGCCTTGGATGAAATTCGTTAAGTAAAGCAGAGTAACAGGAGACGAATCATTAGCATGTTTCTTGCAGAAATCAGGTTCAATCATTTTTGAACTGGATTTGCGGGGCGCGCGAAGTCTAAGAACCCAAGCCTTGCTTGTAATCGCTTCCCCTAATAATAAAAGACGTCACCCCCCTAATCATTAATCATTAATAATGGGGGGGGCGCACAAAGTATTTATTATTAAGGGAGATATGTATTGAAAGAATTTGGTACGACTGCGTGAAATTTTTTGAACACTCAATTACAATTAATGTAAAATGAATTAACAAGTAATCAAATGAGATGATAGAAGTTATCCACTAAATTCAATTAGCAAATTTTCAGTAATCATTGAATTAAATAATTCAAGATTAATCAGCAAATTACTGAATTCATTACCGAATTAATCGTAAGCAAAAGAAAAGTAATGAACCAATGAATCAACTAAAAGAGCCGTTAGAACATGAATGACAATTCAGGACATACTTAATTGATTATAGGAGTTTTTTTAGTCCAAGTTAGGGCCTTGTTAGGGGCTCTTCCTAATTAAGGCCTCATTAGGGAAGGGACTATTGCTAATTAAGGCTAATTAGGGACTATTCCAAGTTAGATCTTATTAGGGACAAATTCAAATTAGGGCCTTCTTAGTGACTATTCCTAATTATGGCTTTGTAAGGATCATTCCCAGGAGAATTCCCTTAGAGTCTTTCATATAGATTGTTTTTATAAAGTCCAAATGAAAATCAAGCAAAACCTAGGATGTCAAGGGGATCCTTAATTCTTCTGGAGTTTTTATTATACACCCCCTAATGACTTCAAAGACATCCCCTAATTCATTATGGTCTGGCTCCTTTTAAAAGTAGTCTCCCCCCTTTCAAACAATCATGAAGATTTTTTAGGGCCCAGGATTTATCTTTCATTTTTAGGGGCGGTTTTATTCATAAGGTGAGGCGATCAAGATTGAAGCGTGGAAAAGGCATTGCAGATGTATGGAATCGCACTCTGACTTTTTGACGGCCCTTCAGGTTGCATCGACGCCTTCGCGGAAAAATTTCAGAACAACAGCAGCTTGCGAGGTCTTCTGTGCCCAGAGGCCAAGGATTTTGGGCAGTTGCTGGGACGCGTCCCTGTGAGCCTCGGCGGCGCGCACTTCGACGTGGCAGCAGCCTTGCAGCCTTCAGACCCTGGGTTGCTGTTAAGGAACTTAAATTGAGTTACCATATGGGGAAACCCTATTATTTACTATATATAACCCATTATTGTAACTTAGTTTAAGTTCCTTAACAGCAACCCAGGACCTTGGAGGTACAGTGGTGCACCTCCAGGTTTTTCAGCTTTTTCAGCAATCCAGGTCTGTTGTCTCACCATCCGAACACGAATCCCTCAATTAGATCTGCATGCCGCTTTGTGGCAACACATTTTTGTTTGGAGGGGGGGAGGGAAGAACGAAGTGGCATTCCACGCTGATGGTCCTCACGTGGCCAAGCTGAGGAGAAGCCCTTGGGATTCCAGTGTGAGAGCGCTTCGTGGACATGCGGGGCAGTAATCCGCAGCGTAGTGACAGGGAGCGAGGCAGGGACAGCGATGACTGACTTCAAGCAACAAAATGCGAGAGTGTTTGTGAGCCCGCCTGCAGGCCAAGCGTGCAGGGTGTCGGATTGGTGACATCGTTGCTAAAATCGGCTCATTGGACGTGAAGGAGGCCCCATTTGACGACATTCAGGACAGCCATGGGTTAAGAATGTTGTCCGTAGTGGGCGTGACTGTGTCAACATCGGGGAGCTTATTTCATTGCATGAGGCCTGCTTGCTACGAGAACATGAGGTTGGTGTCGGAAGTACCACAAATCGTGCGTAACTGTGTGGTTGGGCAGGAGATTTTATTCGCACAGGATTGAAATGGTGTGGGATAAGGCGATGAAGCCCCATATGATTTGCGTAAATGCACGTACTTCGTTTGAATCTTTTTGGCATGCATTGTCTGACATGTTTGTGACAGTTGGGGGCTGGAGTTCCACTTGCTTGCCTGAGTAAAGCAGGTAGCGAGGCAAGTAGGGTTGATTCGGATTGCGTGGGCCAGGCGGCCAGGCCCGCACCATGCAGGAGATGCTTGGAGGGTCGGGCTGTATCACCTTGACGCTCGATCGACCAAATCTGGTGGACAAGATCTACCTGCGAGAGGTCCCAGCTGTGGATGACGTGCTCTCATCTTTGTCGGGCGCAAGATTAAGTTTAACAGACTTGGTGCCAGCTTTGGGCAAGCATTTCGGTAGCAAGTATCTCTTCTTTTCAGAGCAGACACCCATGCTTTTTGCCGGCGACGCGGCCACTGCATCACACCTCCACATTGACCGCAAGCCACTGGTGCAGTTCTGTCATGTCTTGCATGGGACGAAAGTCTTTTGCGTGGCTCCCCGAAATGGCCAAGCGCCGGGACCAGTGGTACCCTGGGAGTCTACAGCGCACGAGGCTGTGCTTTCTGCCGATGACTTACCGTCGGGCGCGGCTGACTGGCTGAAACGGAATGATGTGTCTGTGGCCGTTGCCAGGCCAGGCGACGTTTTAATGTTTCGAGGTCACTCCACCCATGCCGGGTGCAATGGTGCGGCTGAGCTTTGTGTGGCAGTCTTCCATGGTGCTCAGCCTGTTTCCTACATGGCACAAGGTCTATTTGGCCCTGCATACCAGGCACTGGCCCGGACAATCCTCTCCAAATAGATCGGTCTGGTCCGGACAAAAATTGCCATCTGTCATGGAAGACAACAAGCTTGCGAAAGGTGTAAACAACAATTTCCCATTGAGGGTACTTTCCCTTTTTCTTGTCTGCGGAAGAAGATCTTTGCAACCTGTATACCTTGCTTCGTACAAAGATGTTGGCCACGACCTCAGCACATGCGTCAAAACGTGAGACCCCTGCAGCTGAGTTAAGTCAGAGATGAAGCACTGCCACCTTCTCGCCAATTGCAAAGGAGATGTTCAAATCCTTGGCAAAGTTTCAAACGCTTGCACGGTTGTAGCGTTGCTGAGGGTAGTCCGTTTGGCATATCTTCTCATCAACGCGCTTCTTCCGTGTTGTTCAAGCAGGAGGGTTGTTTTTGTTTGGGCGTAGCTCTACAAGAGCAGCGGCCGCTTTGAGACGCGATGTACGGGCTGCGCCTGATCAACAACAACTATGTCGCCAACGGCACTGGCAAGGTCACGGTCTCAGATCGGGCCTTGCTTTTGACAGATGCCGTTGTCATCTCTTTTTTATGCCGGATGACCCTTTGCACGCAAGCTGGTGCTTCAAATGGATCTATCACGAGGACGTCACCATCATTTACGATCCTTCGTTTCGTGGTGGCAAGCCGGGCACCCGGTTCGCTCACGTCACAACCTTGGAAAACACATAATGAGTTTGATGTCACCAGTGTTTTGAGGCTTGGAAGCGTCAACCAGATGCAGCATTTTCCCAACCCAAAGGTTTGGGACTTGACAGGTTGACATCAGGCATTGCCCCGACGGTGCTTGAAGATGTGCGGCTAAGGCAGGCCCTGCAAAGCTCCGTAAGCTTCCAGATGTGGGGGCCTTGGGTGTTTAGATTCAACTTCTTCAATCTTGGCTTAGCTTCTCTTAGCTTGACTTCGTGGCCTGGAGCAGCTCACTGAGACCGGCCTCGACGCGCGGGATGAAGGATACAAGCAGAAATTGAATTGTGGAAAATCGGCTGCAGTGACCGTCAAAGAGGCCAAGGCGAGCTGCACGAAGTGAAAGCCGCATGGCCCATTTGGAGCTTAACCATCCTACAGGCTAAAATCAGCGACGGCTCCAGATTCAGGCCAGCTGGACAGGACATGGCCGCAAGGAAAGCCGTTTCGTTTGCTTCGCCCCCTTGGTCAGGTTTCAGGACGATGCTAACAAGACCTTTGGCGCGGTCATGTCTTTGAAGTCCCTGCCTGTTGGGACCCTGGCGTTGGGAGTTATAAAATAAAAGTTGTAGAGGGGTATCTGCCCGCAGCACAGCGGCAACGTGCTGCTGTGTAGTGGCATTGTGCTGCTGAGCAAGACATCAGCCCGCAGCACGGGCCGCGTGAGGCTAGCCGCGAACTGATCCGGGCATCGTCCGCTCCCAGCCTTCAAGCGGCTGCCACCTGCAATTTCAGGTGGCTTGGGATCCAGTGAGTTGTGGCCAGAAGACACAAGTGGCATGCTGACAGGACCCGTTGGGATCTCCCTGCGGCAATGATAGATAACACAGAGGACTCCTGCGCTTACAAAGGTGTCTTGTCATGTCTGCCTGGCAAACCTTATTGTGCAGGCAGCAGCGGTGAGCCGTGAGGCAGGGCGTAGGGCACCACACCGCACAGTTGGGCCACTTGCTCTCAAGATTGGACCATCATTGTGCTTGGCAGGAGGACCTTTCCGATATCAAGAAGGGCCTCCTCCCCACTTATTGGAGGTGACTCGTAGATTTGATTGATTGCATCCAGCCTGCCATCATCTTGCATCCTGCAGGCCCAAGGATCCTGCGCTGGATTGGCCTGCGCCGGGATTCCTGCATCCATGCCATGGATTTTCCAGGCCTTTTGCATCCATTGGTAATCATTCGCAGCCTGTCAGCACAGCAGCCTCTGACCAGGACGGATGGCGGCATGCCGTGGCCGAACTGAGGGCGACGCCAAAGACAGCCCTCCTGTCGACTCCAGTGTGCTGAGAGACTGCTCCTGCAGCATTAACATGCCGGACAAGGCTAACGGTTCGACAGTGGGGCAGTGCATCAGAAGTATCGAAGTAACAAAGACAGTTTGGCAGAATTCATGGCGTTGAACGCCTACTTGTGGCTCGTGGACACTGGTGCGACGAAGAGCTGCTCACATAACAGGCTTGAGCATGCTTTAGCCTTAAATATTTACCACCGCAGCAAGCCAGCCCTAAAAGGGCTGCCCCTTGTTGCCTTGTGTTCCTGGCGCTGCCGAAGGCATTGCTAAGGGCACGAGGGAAGTGGGCAAGGATGGTCCTTGTCCTGACCGCTCACAAGCGATATGGAAACGGATCTCTGGCAAAGGCCGCCAACTTCAATCACTGCCCACTGCGAGAGAGACGTATTGCCATGTGTTTATTCAAAGGGACGTGCTGCCAGCCTGGGAGAAGTTTTTCTAATGGAGTCGCTGATGTAAGTGATGTGTTACTTAAGCTGTCAGCCAGCTAAGGCTGTTCTCCTAGGGTGGCTGTGAGGCCGGCACTCTCGGTCGACCCCTTACCGGCCCATTAGAATCCCTAGACTTACAATCTCGAAAGAAAAACGTTGCAGTGTTGAGTTCAACTTCAGTAAAGCAGCATCAGCTGTTGCAGACACCCTGCCGTTTGCGAGTCAGATTTCCTTGTAAGCCATTCCGGACTGCTGGGATCAACGCTTATGACTATGTTGGTCCAAGCGCTGAAAAGTCGTAGCAAAGATGTGAAGCAGCAGGTAGGGCAAAAGCTCCAGCTGTGGCCGGCTCATGCAATGGAGGGCACGCAGATGAGCGCGGAAGTGCTGCAGCAGCTCTATCAGAACGATATGCAGCAACATCTTAGCCCCGAGATGCAACAAATGCAGTGGCAGCAGATGCAGATGCAGCAAATGCAGATGCAAGGGCAAGGGCAGGAGGCGGAGCACGAGGGCTACGAAGGATACTCCCAGGCCCAGGCTCAGGGTGGAGAGTATCGGCCGGAGGAGGAAGATGAACCTCAAGGTGAGCCGAGGCACGAGCAATATCAGGAGCAGGAGAAGTACCAGGATGAGTATCAACCAGAGGGCGATGAGGAAATGACTGACCAGATGCATCAGCAGCTCCAACAGAGAATGCAACAGCAAATGCAACAGCGAATGCAACAACAGATCCAAGCAAGGATGCAACAGCATTTGCAACAACACATGCAGAACCAGAACATGCAGCAGCAACAGCAACACCAACAGCAGCACCAACAGCAGCAGCAGCACATGCAGCAACAGCAGCAACAACATCAGCAGAGCATGCAGCACCAACAGCAGCAAATGCAACATGATCAGTACAATCAGACGCCTCAACCGCCTGAACCCCCTCGGCAAAACCAGAATCCCCTCACAGGGGCTCCGTCCGAACCTCAGAGGATGCAGTGCATAGCAACACCCGTGTTGTACCGAGTGATGGGAGCACAACCTGAGGTACACTCCGCGCTTCTATTACCTCCTGGAGAAGCGGCAAAGACTACCGGCCTGGATGGCAAGACAAGAGTTCCTGAAGCTCATGCAATCGAATCAAGCCATCTGGCCAAAGTGGAGATCTGCTTTCAAACCTGCGCGTGCTTAATTGGCGCTCGTGTGTCAGAGGTCCTGGTGCTCGTGGGCGAGCCGGGATCCGGTAAGACGACGCAGCTGCCGCAGACCCTTGGCAGCGATTCTTGCAATCATGCCCCCCGCCCTTGAAAACATCCAGAAGATCTTAAACAGTAGTTTAGAAGGCACGGGATCAAGCATTTGGGATCGCAGCAAGAAGCCTGGGAAGGATCCTGCTGGATGCGGGCTACCATGTGCAGATGGGCCAGGTGCGGGCCATCTGCTGTCGCTTAGCTGGATGGCTGCGGATGACTGTAAATTTGGACCAGGACCAGAAACCTGGCTCTTGACTCCAAGGTGCGCAGCCGAGCCCCTTGGCGACGCTTAGTGCGTCGCTGCGGATCTGTGAGGAGTTGGAGGCAGGTCCGGCTAAAGTTGGAAAGTTTTGCATGCAAGATTAAAGCCTCAATGGGTTTGAATTAGTAGTTTGAACAAGTGAGCTTCTTCTCGTGGCATTCGCAGAAATCATGATTTTGGCCTCTGCTTCTAGTATGCGTGTTTCCTACCGGATACCTCCCCCGACTTGGCACAGTCCACCAAGGTGCAGTTGGGTACTTTTGTGGGTCATGTCACTCGCTTCGAGGAGCCCTGGATGCAAGCCCCTTTTAAGATTGGAGGTTAAGTAGCTTGTGGCACTAAGTATGGTCATCCTGGGTTAGGATATTTGCCTGGGCTTCTTAAGGCAAAAAAGACCGTCTGACGTGGTGTCCTTGTGACTTTGAGCTCATTTTCTTGAGTTTGCCAGTGCCTGATGCATTCAGCCGCTCCTTGGGCATCCTCCAATCAGGGCGCTGGCCATCAACAGGCTGCTTTTCCGGTGACAGCGGGAGTTTGTTAGTATCTTTCCCTGGCAAGATGTATGGAAAGGCGCCCTCGAGTAGTCAGGGATTAGTCAGGATGGTAGGCAGCCAATGCTGCGCTCACCTTCAACCTATTCACATGTATTGAATTAAATCGATTCGCTGACCTAGTTTTGAAAAGCTTGTCTAAACTTTGCTTTCATGAGCGGCCAGAATTTGCAGCCACACCCGAGTCCCAGTGTCATACAGTGTTCTCAGGACCGAACGTCAGGGGACACGCTCCTGCGCTTCCTGACAGACGAGGCCCTCTTGCGCGAGTCTTTGGAGGATCCGCTGCTGGAGAGATATAGTGTCATCATCCTGGATGAGGCTTGGAACAAAGGGACTACTGGGGTCCCAGACCAAAATGAAAGTTTCTGATGAAAAGTAAGGTTCGACTGACTCCAGCACTCCATGTCAAGAACCTGCTAAGCAGGGATGGGCAAGTATTCGGGGCCGATGAATATCATCAATTGCACCTAGATTTCTGTGTGTTGAATCCATGGCGAAGGTTCACCAGAGAACCTGCGAGACAGACCTTCTCATGGGCATCCTGAAAATGGTCATGCAGAGAAGGCCTGAGCTGAAGCTACTGCTCTTATCGTCTTCGATGGACGTCAAGAAGGTTCAGGATTACTTCGAAGGGGGCGCCCCCTTGTTGCAAGTCCCGAATCGGACATACTCAGTGGAGGTTTTCCACTGTCAAGATTCAGAGAAAGACTATCTGAAAGCTGCTGTGCGAACAGTGGCTCAGATTCACACCACCGAACCTGAGGGTGATATTCTGGTGTTCTTGCCTCTGGAAGAAGAAATCGACCTGGCATGTCAGCTGCTCCGGAAAGAGTCAGTTCACATGATGAACTTCGGAGAGCTTCAGGTTCGTGCGCTCTACATTGGCCTCCCGATTCTGGAGACGCAAAGGGCATTCGAACAGACTGCGCAGCTGAAGATGGGCGGAAAGCCCTGCAGAAAGGTCGTGGTGGCAAGCAATGTCGCCGAAACATCCCTTGCAGTTGATGGAATAATATATGTCATCGACGCGGGACTCGTGAAACAACGTGCCTACAATCCGCGAACCCGCATGGAGGTAAATCTGGTCATGCCTGTCTCCAAGACCTCAGCATTGCAACGGACAAGCCTAGCCGGCCGTGCGCGCCCTGGTAAATGCTTCCGACTTTACCCAGAGCAGGCAAACGGCGACTGGCATGAGAAGGTCCATCCAGAGATAATGCCACTGTGCTGCACAGTGTCAGGGTGCAGAAGTTGGATTCTGCATATTTCGGATGCCAGTGTTTATGCCTAGCTGTAGCTGTCCACGTGCACGAGAATTCCAAGCATGGAGCTTCCCCTAGCCTTCCCTCGTTGTGCTGAGATGAATGATTCTCAGGAGATCAAATCTCACAACCGTTGTGCTCATGCTCAAGCGCTTGGGTTTTGACGATGTGGTCCACTTCGACTTTGTGGACCCCCCCTCACCCGAGGCACTCATGCGGGCACTGGAATCTCTGAACCATCTGGGGTGCAGCTTACTTGCAAGTAGCATATGTCCTCCATAGCGCGTGGTCCCACCCTTGTTTTCAGGAAAGGCACGCAAGGAAAGGCAAGGAGATCCATGCAGTGTTCTTGTTCACGATCAGGCTTCACTTCGTCTATCTCGCACAGCCTTTTTCCCCACTGGACAGCTCACCCACCCTTCCACCTGGGTAAGGCATTGATGACAATGGCAATATCACAGAGGTTGGCAACCAAGCATGCCGACTTCCCCTGGATCCCCAGATAGCAAAGATGCTGATCGAAGCGCCGCGGCACCGATGCAGACTCTCAGATGAGTATGAGAACGCAACCATTTTATCTTCGGGCGTATGAGTTGTCATGTATGTATGTGTTCCGTCACAACATGTGATTGGCTCCACTCCTTCTGGACGTTGCTACGCCTTCTAAGGCAATGAAGCCTTGTCCATAGCAGCTATGCTTTGCTCATTGCCAGTGTGGCTGAGACCCAACGATGCCTTTCGTGCGGCGAACGAGGTGCCAGCGTCGAGCTGCTTCAAGCATTGTAGCACAGAAACTAGGGTTGAAGCTCGTGTGTAAACTCCGCTGTCCCAGTACTTGCAGGCAAAAGCCAGGTTCGCCCACATGGACGGCGATCACCTGACCTTGTTGAATGCCCATTGGCCTGTGCTGGTGTCAAGTGTAGCGAAAGAATTCCTAATCATCTAATCCTGGATCGAGCAAACGAGCAAGCAGTCTTGGTTAACAGCTGGTGCAGCTGTTTCCTCCCCAGAAGTTGAGGTTTTCCACGCTTACAAGCAGCAGATCCAAGATGGCCACGATCCTTCAAGGTTCTGTGCGGAGAACTTCATCTCCATCCGTGCCATGCGACATGCAGAAGTGGCACGCGATCATCTCAAAAGGATTATGGAGAGCATTGGGCTACAAATGATCAGCACAGATTTCCAGGACATGGGGGATCTTCATGCGAACAGCATGAATATTTCAGCCCTTTAATTGATCTGTGAATTCCATGCTCCCGCTGAAGGATAAGGAATATTATCCCAACATCAGAAGATGCCTCGTTTCCGGCTTCTTCATGCAGATTGCGTGCTTGGAGAGCGAGAAGCGAGGTGCCTACAGCATGCTGAGGGAGGGGCAGGACAGCCATTCTGAGAACGCATGCCACCATAGCTTTGGGCGCAGCAACACTTGTGATCTGCTTTTGCAGGAAGTTTTGCTTCACCCGTCCACATCGCTTGGGCACAAACCAGAGTGGATCGTTTTCCACGAGCTGGCTCTTTCCTCAAAGCTCTTCATAAAGACAGGCCATACGCTTTCAATGGGTTTGCCAGCCTTTCAACTTGTTGCTGTCCTTGCAGGCACACAAATCAAGCCGGAATGGCTCCTGGATGTTGCGCCGAGAGGGTACTTCGATCCCCAAAAAATCTCGGAGAAGAGCTCAGCGCGCAGCAAGCTCGAGAGGCTGAGTGCACGGCGCCAGGATGGTTGATGGGCCCTGATGGGCTTTGAGCCATTGTAAGTAACACCATCCAGTCCGGTAGCATGTCTGGCTGAGATCAGACGAGCCATGCTTTTGGGCAAAGGCGGCTAGATCCTGTGCCCAGTGTACATGCTAATCGCTTCGTCACCTTGCTGTGACGGCTTCGCGCACCGCAAGGCTTCAGGCCAGAATTGGATCGAAGCTTTGTGAGGACATGCGTATTGCGTATAGACTCTGCCGAGGAGCCGTGTGAGATGGACGTGGCATAAAGTGCGAGACTGCGTTGGGTAGTGGCACTGGCTTAGTTACGTACCTTGGTGTGTCTTTTGGGCTTGGTTAGGTACTGGTTAGGTAATTCCAATTTGAAATTTGGTGTCCATTTGCCTTGCATGTCCCGAACCGGCAAGACGCAGCATCAAGACATGACATACCGGCCTTGCAGGGTTGCTTGAATGTGGGCAGGCTCGCCATGCTCCGAAGCCCAGGGACCGCTTTGTCTTGCAACTGGTTTCTGGGGAACTTTTTGGTGCCTGTTGTTGAAGACCTTCGGCTTCCTGACGGATGGGCTCCAGTTTGTTTCCAAGGAGACTTACCAAGGCGTTAGAGCTTTTTGGAGCACATCCTACGGGGCTCCAGGACAGATACCGGAAGGGTATACGCTGTCTTGGGAGGGTTTCTTGAGCAAGGCTGAGCTCTTCAAAACGGAGCATGAACAGCATGCAGAGCTGTTGCAAGACCCCAGGGGGCTTGCTTCCACAGCCGCTTGGCTACTGGCTGTCCTGCTTTGCAGTTGGCAGACTTTCAGATGGGTTCGGCATGCCTGTTTCCGTTCCCCGCAGATCTTATTCTTCCCGGACAAATCTGGCGCGCATGTCCGGCATATCTGCTATTTGATGCGGGCTGCCAGGCGACAAGTCTGGGTGGCAATGTTCGCCCTAACAGATGACATGCTGGCCGGAGAACTCTTGTCTGCTTTCGAGCGAAGGGTAGATGTTAGGGTCATCGTGGATGATGAGCAGTGTGGAATGCTTGGGGCAGATGCGCCGAAATTGCTTGATGCAGGGGTCCCGCTCCTCGTCGATTCTTCCCCAGCCCGAATGCACCACAAGTTTGCGATCATCGACGACTGCTTGCTCACAGGCAGTTTCAACTGGACAAAGCAAGCCAGTACTACCAATTGGGAAAATGTGTGCATTCTCCGAGATCCAGCAGTCATAGCGACCTACGCAAAGGAATTTCGATCGCTGTGGAAAGAGTTTTCCAGCAGTTCTCAGGATCTGCCCGCGTCCCCAAAGTCGCCGGCGAGGCGGAAGCGTGATTCAACACCGGGGAAGCGCTAAGTTTCCAACTTGACTCTAATTCATCGGCCGAGTTTGCCACGGCCCCAAGGGCTGACGTGGCAGTAGCCATGGTGGGGACTGCCAGGCGACTTGACACGCATTTGCTGAAAGTCTTTGTGATGGTGATTGCTGTTCTGGAGCTGTTCCTGCAGAAGCTTAGGTAGAGGCCTTGAGAGGGATCTGAAGGCTGTTCGGAGCCAGAGTAAGTCATATCCAACCTCATCACATGTTGTGTCCTAAGCTGAAAAATTCAACTGAGATGCAGCAGAAAACATTGTAGGCCCATTAACAGCGAGCAGGAGGTTGCCCAGCAGGTAGACGGGAGGCGCGTAGCAAGATGGCCGCCGGGGGTGTTTACACCATGGGCCAAGACGGCAGGAAGGAAGTTGCATGAAATGAGCGGATACTTCATGTCGTTACAAGCTTAGCTGCAACTGTCTGTCCAAAAGTCTTTTCTTGAAGCGTTTCTCCTGCTTTGCTGGTGGCTCGAGCGGGTCTTTAGGCCGGTGCCCTCGTGAAGCCCTTGCCGAGATGGTGGAGGAAGGCCTTGAGCAGCTGGCAGAAGTTCGCAAGCAGCTCAAGGAGTGAGAGAGTGGAAGAGAGACAAAGGTGTAGGGTGTATATTTGGGATGTGCGCACGGCTCATCATCATTAGCTGCACTCCCGCAACAGCTCCATCAAATAGAGTTTGGTGTGCGCGTGTGCACGGTCTTGGCCGCGGGGTTTCCAGCCAAATTCTCAAAAGAGATGAGTAGGGAAACAGAGAGGCGCTTGCATCATGACAAGCATGTCCGAAGAAGGACCAGCCTGAAAAGAACGGAAAGGATAGCTCCCTCAAGATTGGGGCATGTGCCAAGGTGAGAACAACCATTGACATATGGAAGAAACAAAGACATGCATCGAGACTAGCTGAGCATAGCCCAGCTGGAACTTGCACCAGGAGTCCTCCGCCAGGATCGATGGCCTGAGAGAGCTGCATCAGAACTGGCAAGGTGCCATAGAGGGCTTACTGGACCGGGTGGATGCGAGCTTGAAGGCTCAGGACGCTGCCTTGGACGTGCAACTGGCGCAGCCCAACCCGCCAGAAATCCGAAGCAGGAGAACCTCAAGAAGATCAGCACAAGGTGATGTAATAACACCCTCCGGCGAACGGCAAAAGGTGGTCTCCCTGCATCCGCTGCTGAAGCCCTGTGGCGTTCAATTTGCACAAGCTTTGATTTTGTTGTTGCTGGGTCTTCATGTCAGCTTGCCCGTGCTGAGGTCCAGAAAATCCGTGCTACAACACGCTCCCGCTGGGCCTCTTCGCAAGCTGCTCATCGAGCTCCTGCCTGATCACTCGGAGGAAGGGCCTGAAACGCAAGATTTTTGAAGAAGTCGCCTCCCTTCTTTGGCCAGGCCCAAGTTCCCTGGGAGCCTTCACCGGTGTTCAAGGCGCGAGAAAAGGTTGCATCTCTGGTGTCGTCGAGCTTCTTTGAGTTTGCCTCCGGGTTCATCATCATGTTGCAGCTTGGCAAAGTCGAGCATAGGCTCAAATCCTTTCCTTGGCCCATCTGGCCCTGGCCCTGAGCACATTCCTAGGAACCTCATCGCGATTGGTATCGAGGCTGAGTTGTCTCTGCAGGACAGGTCTGGACAGATATTGCTACAGGGGGTCTCATGGCCCCTTTCAGGGACAAGCGTCAGCTAGCCTCTGCAGCTAGGTCTCTGTGTAAGATATGCCGAACATATCCTGCAAAATACCATCCTTCAAAACCTCCTAATGCAACATTCCGCTCTGACCATCAGGGCACAAGTTCCATGGATTCACCAAGGGTGTGAGCTAACCTTCAGGCCTGCGGCAGCGTCACAGTTTTCGCAGGCCCGTAGCACATCAAATGTATTCAAACAGGCGCGATGTGCATCACTGCGGGATCGGGCATGAGTCCTCCGATAAAGGCAGAAAAAGCAGGGATGCGTCTCTCGTTGATTAGCCCTCGGCCCGCTTTCCCAGGAGAACCAGGAGTTTCAGGAGAGCTTCTTTGGTGGCATTGAAAGCATTTTCTTGGGGATCTATTGCATGGAGGCTTGCTTGCAGGTCTTCGGCCGGCGCCCTCCTCAGATCATTTGACCCAAAGTGCTTGTGTTGCAGGGGAGACAGGGGAGCAAGAGTACCGTCATGCGTCAGAATTCCTTGGCAGACCAAGGGGCTTCGTGGTTTTCCAGGACCTCTGGTTCTTGATGGACCTTTGCCTCATTTTGGTCGGGCTGCTGGCCCTGTGGATCGTCCCTGCATTTGCACGAGAAGGCGACTACACCACGGGGTTTGAGAAGTTGCTCGTGGTGCGGGGGATACGGCTGCTACGTTTGGTGCGTGTGCTTCGCATGGTGCGCCACTTCAAGGCACGTTTCCCCAGATTCAATTCATGTCAATTCCTGTCGGTTCATCTTGTCAACCTCAGACCCGCCTAACCTCGCTAATATGCCCCCAAAAGACATCAACAATCAGGGCGGTATCAGTGAGTTTTGCCCTGACCCAGATTATGTGGCGCCTTGTCTACGGATTGCTGACCGCCGGCCAAACCATCCTATCCACCACGGCCTTGATCCTTGTATCCCTCTTCATATTTGCATGCGTGGCTGTTGAAGTGATTGCCAAAGACAATGACCTCCGGCAAGACCCGGCGACGAAAGACATTGTCCTCCAGCGCTTCACAGGCGTTGGGAAGTCCGTCCTGACCTTGATGCAGGCACAGCAGCTTTCTGGCGCTGTTGCCGCTCAGTGCCCTTTTTGCAATGTCCTGTGCAGTTCGTGACTTTGGATGGCTTGTCTGACATCTACCACCCGTTGATCATGAGGAAGCCCTGGCTTCGGGCTCAGGATATAGAGCATATGCAGAGCAAACGCTGAGTGCTCATCTCTTCCCACCCTGGCGCCAGCTGAAGGCTTTGGGTGTACTTCCTACCCATCTTGGATGCTTGGCCTGCATTTTGTGTGTCATCAGTTGCCAGTGCTGTTAAGGGCCCTAAACTGCGCTGCTCGCTGTGCTTTTCTGGAACTTCAAGAACCTTTGCATGCACATTGTGACATCTGGCCTACCTATATATGCTGCACTTGCCATGGTGACTGTAATGGGGCTTAACAAATGGTATCATTGGGGCAGCAGTTCCTCAGTAATCCTGACAGCATCAATTGCCATTCACCCGGACGAATGTGATAGAGATAGTGACAGCAACAGTTATTGGGTTCATTGGTCGTTATGTTCAAGGTTGACAACCGCAAAGATCCTAATGGTACCGAATACCGACCATGTCGACTTTCCATGACCTGCGTGATCATTCGTAGCGAACAGCACTTTGCTGAAGGTCTTCATCTCGATCGGACTCCTGAATCTGATCACAGCTGCTTTGGAGACTTGACACGAACATGACGTTTCTAAAGCATGATCAAGTCGAGTTTCTTGGGTGCTAGGCAGTTTCCGGGAAGCCTCTTATGCAAAGCTGCCAAGTGCAGGGAAAGCATTAGCGCAGCCAATCTGGCTTGATATGGCTTGATCCATGTCTTGTGCTTGGAAGTAATCAGCCGAATGGGAAAACAGCAGAGTGCCCAAAGGTGGAAAATGCCATGGACAATGCAGCACAGAGCATGGAGGAGGACGGGTGATGCTTTCGTAGTCCAAGTTGGACGATGCTGTCAAAAGTCTAGAGTGAAACGCTGCTTAGAAGCAGCTACAGGGAAGTAGCGATGCTTGCCTTTCTGGCGCAGGGTTTTGGAAAAGGAAGTCTAGCTGCAGATTCGCAGACCCCTGAGGAGCGTGCAAAGCTGAAGCGCAAGGTGCGCGGAGCCATGTGCTCAGCTCGCTAAAGTCTAGACTTCTCTGATGCTAGTAACAGTTCACAGGGGTTGAGCCTCAGGCTTTGCCGGTTCTGATTGAGATCTTCCAAACCATCGACACAGACCACAGTGGCCTGATCACACGGGAGGAGGTGTCGCATGTACCCATAGACATCCTGCCTCCGCGTGTCTTGGAAGCAGTATGTGTGGACAATATGGAAGACATTTTTGACCTTCTGGATGTGGACGACTCTGGCTTTCTCACGCAGATGGAATTTGTGGAAGGGCTACTGAACCTGTCCCTCCTGGACATGCCGATGTGGACGTTGCAGAACCTGCGTTTGCTAAAATTGGTCAACGGACGAGTCTCGAACATCGAAGAATGCTGCGAGACTTTGTGCGCACACTTGTTGTCGCGCTGCGAAGAAGAACCTCTCGTAAGCTTCTGAGGCAGCATTGAGAGTCATTTACTGTATAGAGTTTCACCTCAGCTACCCACGGGATTTGTTCTCGAAAGATGACCGTGGGCAAGGCTTGTACCAAGCTGCTCGTAAGAAGTAGCGCAGCCTGCTCGTGGAGTGTCACCTTGACAGCACCCTCTGCACCTCGAGACCACGCTGCATTTGCAGCTCCGCTTAAAAATGGGCAACGCAGCGCACTTCGGCAGGTGACATGCCTCTGCATGTTTGTGAGCACGAGCTGTGTAAGCTTCGAAGCTTCTCTGGCCGCTTCCGAGAATGTCATCAAGCGGTGTTCATTAGCAGCCTTCACAAGGCAAATCTTTTAGCCCACAATTGGAAGGGCATCAATTGTCAAATGTAGGGCGCCTTCCTAGCTGCCAGCTGACTTCTAGCGTCAAAGCAAGCGGGCGTGTGTGACAACAGTTGCTCAGCATGGCCCGCGAAACAAAGCGCGGGAGAGGAGACATGCTTTTTCGCAACGTGGGAGATGACAGCATGTGCCTACGACTGCAGATCTTAATGATGCATGAGGGACCCTCCAACACCGGGTGTAATGCACCTCCAGCACTACAGGTGTGTGTGTGTGTATATATATATAGAGCAACCCATTCAAAGTTTCTAGCGAAGTGGGCTTCCGTCAGGTGGGCGAAAGCGCAGCTGTCGCAGTCGGCCAAGGGCAACGCAGCCAAAGCTGCCAAGGCCGCGGCGAAACCGAGCGTGGTGGGCGGCGCAGTCCGCAAGCCGAGGTCTGCCCAGGCAGAGCAAAACTGAAATTCCACGAGCCATAGGCCATAGGTGGCACACTGCCTCAAAAGGGATCATGGGGAGATAGAGGGGCTTTGTCAGGGATATTGGTATTGCTTGGGACCGATTGGACTTGGTCAGTGAAGTCTTGATTTAGCTGCTCAAATCCTGCACAATATGTGACATGGGAGAGGCGAGAAGTGCTATGGAACGTCCATTTGGGAATTACATTTAAGCCACATGAGCCCTCCCACAACGTTCGCCCAAAGGAGATTTTGGCTGGCTTCCGGAACAGCTGGAAGGACAAGGTCGTCGCCGAGGCTCAAGCTGGAGCTGAGGAGCAGCAAGCGGACGAACAGGCCGCCCAAAATTGTTGATTTCCTGGGATTCCGACAGTTCAGTCGTGAGAAAGAGATGACATCCTGAATCCTGACTGAGGCCACCAAGCCGGAAAAGGAGGAGGCCAAGCGGGATGCATCTGAGTCCTCAGACTCCGGAGCCTCCAAAAAGCGACAAAAGCGCGAGAGATCCCGGTGGTCACGCTCCTCATCTAGCTAGCTTGACCGCTTCAGGCCGTGGCTGAGGAAAAGTGCAGTTGCACGAAGCGACGCCAGTTCCACCGCGGTGAGTGAACTTTGGTGATGGAGCACCCTTGCTTTTCCTGCTGCGTAGATCTGCGCAGCTGCGCAGCCATTGGCGGCTCTCAGCCACAAGCTGTGACGTGAAAAGCGCACATGCAAGTTGAGCGAGGTGTGTCATGTCTGTAAGGTATGTAAGGTAGTGCTTAAGACTGCAAGAGCACCAGCATCCCTCAAAAAGCCTGGCGCCTCTCATGACGTTTGACTCCGGTCTTCTGGCAAAGCTCTCAGAAGTCCAGGAGCAGCAGAAGGCTCGTGATTGAGAGACATTCATGATGCCCTTTAACTATGAGCTGCCATTTTCATGGTCTAGTCTAGCGAGGCAGGCATTACCAGTTTTGCAGGACAAAGTTTTAGACATGAACTTTGATTGCTTTTGAACTCTCATGTGCATCCGCAGCTCAAAGACAAGAGACAGGACGCAAACTGACATGTAAAGCTGCAGGACCCAGGGCTCTTGGGGCATGGGAGCACAGTGGACAGCACTTCTGCATAGCGGCGTGTCTGAAGGCTTCTTCCACCAGCATTGACCTCCTCCGGAATCAGCACAAGGAGTGGCAGCGGGCCGTGGATGAGCTGCTCGCAGGCATCCGCATCCTGGAGGCCTCAGGACCTGTGCCAGCGCGAGCTTCGGATGTGACCCAGAAGGTGGCCGAGGTGGGCTGCAGCCCTGAGGCTTCAAATGAAGTCAACAATATCAGCGCACACATCGACGACGCGCCTTGCCAGAGGGCAACCTTCAGTCGAAGGTCAATGAGCACAGAGTCACTGCTGAGGTTGCTGGGCACGAAGGGTAACCAGCACACATGCTTGTAACAGTTGCTATAAATTCCTCTTAGATGGCGGCTGCTAGCTTGCGGGGCATGCAAGGGAAGCCTGTTTCTCAGAAAGTGAAAAATTCAAAAATACTTCGGATTCATCAAATGAGCTACGGACTAAATCTTAGATCGTGCGGCCTCTGAAATATCAACTTAAAATCACAGGTTGGTTGCGGAATAGACTGCTTTAATTATTGTCTCCTATGCGGTGACATGGCTCAGAGGGGCGGCAAGAACGCGTAATACGTTAAGTGTAGAGAGGGGCTCCACCGAACGAACACGGAATAGAATAGGGTGCCATGCAAATTGACAGTGTGTTTTTGGAGTTCCGTGTTCGCAATCTGCCAAGCATATTGACTGGTAGTCAGCACCAGGCTTACCTGATGAAGCGCTCCCAGTTCCTCTCAGGTCCCGGAATACTGTTGCCCAGAACTTCCCAGCTGGCCCACTGCGCAAGCTCGTCACGGAAGTTTTGAACGACAGCAAGGCCTGAAGTAACCAAGCACCGACAAAAAGTGTGTGCGTCGTCTACCAGTCATGATCCTACGCAGCTTGGATGTTGTGACTGACCTGGGGAAGGTGGAATGTGTTCACACAGCTTGTGCAAACTGACAGGCAGTTCCAAAAGAGGTCTCCTGGTGGGGGTCTCTGCAGCACAAGGCCAGGTCGTTTCAACGCGAATAGTCGATTGTCAATGCCTAGGTCGAGGTATTCTGCGGTGCGACATGTTCCAACTGCAGAGCCATCGGCCTTTCAAGGCTGCTATGGTCGTCGCTTCCAGCTGGTTCGAGTTTTTTGCGGGGATGGTCATCATGCTGAGACTCGGCTGCGCCCAGAAAATCTTGATTATCATCGTTCAATGCCTGCTTCGTTGCGCTTGAGATGAGAACTCTTTCGTGATGAGCGCCTAGCGTTCGTTTACGTCTCAAGCCATGATGGTGCAAGGAACTTGATCACAATTGGCATTGAAGCTCAGCTCTCATTGCACAGCGGGGAGACCTACGCTGGAGATTTTTGGCCCGGAGGCATGCGGAAAGAGTGAAGTTCTTATGAATAATCATTGTATGACAGTCAATAACAGTAATAGTGCTAGTTGGGATTGTTACTCGCGCATGTACTGTTTTGCCTATAGTCTGCAGCGGGCTGCTGACGAATCACAACCATCTTGGCAGAGAAATGAAGCTAAATCTCGACTACAGGTGTGGAGAGGATTTTCTTGGCCATCTACACCATTGAAGCGCTTTTGCGCCTACTTGCTGGTGGCTGGCAGGTCTTCCTGGATCTCTGGTTCTTGATGCCCGGCTGATTTTGGATCGATTTTACGGGTATGGTGTCCGCTTTATAGTTTTTGGCAAGTTGGTGCTTTCTATCGCATCGGGCGAAAAGCAGCGGTACATTCAACGTTTGCGCGGCAAACCAGCACTTGGCCCCCCGTCCTCCTGAAGCAGGGTTGGTCCTCGGAAATGCAAGTTCCCGAACAACACTGTAAATAATCTTCCCATTGAATCTTGAGCCGCCAGCGAGCAGTTTTGGATATTTGGGAGGTAGTTGTATGAGTCCATTTGCATGGGAATTGGTTTGTTTTCCGTCGTGCGGTCAAGCAGTTATCCTTCTCGTGCTTGTAGCAGCTACTATCATCGCCAGGCACCAGGAGCATGATGGTTGTGGCTTGTATGCGGGCTTTCATCTTAGAAGCAGGAACAGGAATGTAATGGCAGCCCAATGGGAGAGACCGGTGCTGGGCGCAGAAATGTAGCCAGTTTTGTTTGGAAAACGGTACGCAACCCCAAAGACGATGGCCTCTGTGCTGCGGTTGGCACCATCATGCAGTTGTCAAGGTTGGGCTTGACTTTCCACAAAGTTTCGCTTCAGATTTGTTTTGATGTTGTCTTTCTTCTTTTGCGGTGTCGAAAATGTAGACAGCCAGGAGGATGGCGACCCCAAGCTTCTTGAAACGGTGCGCAGAAGCATTGTGGAAAAGAGTATTACAAGCTCCGGCAAAGTGCGGGAAACAGCAGGAAAACACGCACATGCAGAGCACAATAATGTCAAAACTGCAGCTGAGAGTACAAACTACGATTCCTTGTTTGTCGGTGAGTGAAGCCCAGCCAACAACCTGGCTGTGTAATTGTAGCGGGAGATCAACCGCAAAAGGGTCTCTCCAAATACATTAACCCTTCCTTCTCGCAAGGACTCCCTGAGAGGGATCCCTAACTATTTCTGGATTTCTGGAACCCTCCTCATATCATTGAGTTCAAGTTTGGTACGGCGTGCCTCAATGATACCCAACTCATGTATTCTTCACATGCAAGCCTTCCCTCGCAGCTGGCAGCACAAACTCTAGCTTCTTACTTCATCCCAGACAGGAACAAACATCGCTTAGCCTTTCCTTCAGCATTCACGGTAACTTCAGGGCAGTCATTCCGCAGGCTGCAGCCGAAAGGTAAACAATTAAGTATTGCAAACTGAATTTGGGTACAGGCAATACTGCCACTGGGTTTGGGTACCGCTTGTCCTTTGCATTTCCTGACTCCTCACATCACTCAAATCGAGTATCACGGCTGAACAAAACAGAATTCGCTCTGTTCCGCAGGCCGCGGTTCAAAGTCTTCACCCTGCACCGCCCCTTCAAGCTCATCAGTACGGCTAATGAAGTGTGAATTCTATCCTGGGCAAACGAACCTGCAGCATAGGACTGCCCTTGCTGAATTCGGTGTGCACTATGCCATTATATGTTGGCAGTCCAGCTTGCTTCAACCAGCGTAAACAAGCTAAGCTCTGTTTGGCCTGCAGATCAAGCACCTATTGGCATTGAGGCTGGATGTGGCCCTGGTCGTCATTGGGCTGCTGGTGCTTGGGTGCAAAGTTTGAAGAGCTGAACTCATGGGTTGCACTGTCCCAGCTCAGGGCAGAAATCCCCCTGCGCCACACGTAGGCATGCATGACGCTTGGCGCTTGATCCTGAGGCGCTACTGATCGTTCCGGCTGTGGCCGGCAGTTCCGGAGACATAGATGGTTTTGAAAGGCTGCTGGTGGTCAGGGGTCTTCGTTTGTTTCGCTTGATCCGGGCCTGGCGGATGCTACGTCACTTCAAGGCCCAAGATAACCGACGGAATAATACTTGCGCACTGCTCCTACTCCATCCCAAATCAGATGTGCCTTGACATGCCTTGACAGATCGTCTGGCGCTTAATCTATGGGCTGATGACTGCGGGGCAGACAATCATTTCTACTACTTTGCTGATCCTGGGCAAGAAGTGCAGCAATGAGTTGAGAACAACACGTCCTTGCCTCAACCTGCTGGCCACTAAGGATCATGATTTTCTTGTTCATTTTTGCATGTGTTGCGGTGGAGGTCATTGCCAAGGACCAATACCTAATACAAACTCCAGCTACCTCCGAGATTGTGACGGAGCAGTTTTTCGGCCTGAACCGGGCGTTGCTGACACTGATTCAGTTCGTGACGCTTGACAACATCGTAGAGGTGTACTATCCGCTCATTATGCACAGGCCATGGCTGTCGCTTTATTTCTTTCCAATCCTCATTTTCATCTCCATTGGCCTCATGAATCTTGTTACTGCTGCGCTGGTGGAGAATGCCATGCAGACGGCAGCACATGAAGCCGAAGAGGAGCGGCTGAAGTTGAAGAAGCGGGTGCGTGGAGTCAGGAGCTCAGAAAAATGATGCCGGCAGTTTTGCGTATTAATATGTGACAACTTGCAGTCACGTGCCCAGAGGCTTTGCCATCCTTGATCGAGATCTTCCATTCCCTGGACAAAGATCACAGCGGCCTGCTGTCACACGAGGAGGTCGAGAACGTGCCCCTGGATGTGTTGCCTCCAAGGGTCCTGGATGCCATCTACGTTGAAAGCATGGCAGACATCTTTGACTACTTGGATGTCGACGGAACAGGACAGCTCACAGTTGCAGGATTTGGGGCTTCTTGCTGGGTTGACCCTGTGATGTCTTGTCGGTCGTTGTTGGTCTTTCTGTGCGGTTTGGTTCGTTAGTAAGGAAAGCAGGCAGTGCTTGTACACTTAGTTTTTGTTTCATTTTCACCGGGCCGCGGCATGGCTTTTTTCCCACTGGGTGTGTTGCCCTGCCTGTACAGCGGGCCCAAACAAGGACTCGCTAGAAGATCTCGTTTATGTACGGACGTAAACTCAAGAATGTCCCTGTATGTCACCCTGTGTTCAGCAAGAAGTCAAACGTGGCGTCGCAGGTCCCACTTCACCCCCCGCTGCCTCCTCCCTGCCACTGCTGCCGCTGCTGCCGCTGCTGCTGCTGCTCCTACTACT